ATATATATATATATATATATATATATATATATATATATATATATATAATGCATATGTAGAGAGAGAGAGAGAGTGCGAAGAAGGAAACGGGTTGAGAGACTGTGAGTAAAATACTTAATTTACAATGAATTACTGGATTTATGAAAATGTTTCTAGAGGAAAACAAACTTGCATGTTGAATTTACTCTTACCTTATATTGTGAACTGCTATTTACTTTGCTGTAAAACAAAACAAAAACGATTGTGTGAATCATGTGAATGATCCTGTTTTGAATTATAATTTTTTTGTCAAGGAGCATGTAGGGCTGAACATCACCACTAGATGACACTGTGACTTAATCTGACACACAGAGTTGTGTTCAAATGTTGCAGGTGTGAATGCATTATGCCACAGGAGCATCAACGGAGACGGTGAGTGGTGACCGGAGTCCTCCTCATTGATCTCTCATGTCAGAAGCAGCAGCTCACTTTGTACATTATGACCTCAGCCACTTCAACGCAGTGAAGACCTGCAGCCGTCAAAAAGTGTCCCCAGTACTGGAGGGGAGGGTGCGAGGGGGGGTTGACGCTGGTTCCGAAATAGCTTCTCTCCCGGGGAGTCGTGTTTTCTTGTGTACGCTTGCTGTACACGCTGTGTGACTGACCTTCCCAAATTAGCCTGACAGAACCCTCCCACTGGAGCCAGGGATAAGGGGACTGAGGCTCTGTCGACCAATGGCACCTTGACCAAATGTTCTGACCAGAGAGCCCGGGCCCATTGAAGCAGCTTCTGAACCGCTGTTGTGCTGCACAGTGCATCTTTATTCACAGCGAGGCCTGATCGGATCCAGACAGACATTCTTCAGAGAAGTTAGATTTGGCAGTGAATGTGAAAAATGTGGAAGGTTCTGCACTCAGAAGCCATTAAACAGTTCTATTGTGACAGATAGCCCACATCAGTCGTAAAAGACGGATGGCTCGCTGATTTCTTCCAACTGCAGTGAGATTAAGAGATGGATTTGTGGATTTTTTCCTCACGTTGATTGGCAGCTTGAATTTCATTATTCTAATAACTTCCGAAGTCGTGGACTTTGAACCTTTTGCCTTCGCTTTTGCGATGTGGCATTGATGATAATGGGCCAACACACAAACAGTCTACTGCAGAAAGTGCCAGAAGTAATGCTGCTAACAGCCAGCAGCAGGAAACTGGAAGATAAATCTGTTTATCTCTAATGTTCTACCTGTCTACATGCAGGGCTGCGGTGGCAGAGGCACCTGTCTGCTACTGCCACACTGCTTCCTGTTTGTGAACAATGGCATGATACTGGGGTTTTTGGTTAGTCGGGTTAACGATGCGCGCATCCTGTTTTGTCTCGTGTAGTATGCCAGCAGCAGCGTTGCCCTCACTTGCCCGTCAACACATCCCCTGCCGAGCTACAGCCACGGTTACCTGTGCAGGCGTTTAACTCACCAGCACACCCAGAGGGTGACGACGAGGATGAGGAGGATGGCCAAAGCCGAAGAAATGCAGATAATGGCAGCAAGTGCTGAAACACAAACATGGACACAGTTGTCTAAGCAAACTTTATACTGACAACATACCTCAGCATGTTGATATGATCAGAATGTCTTGAGTAAACACTTCACTCTGATTGTAGATGGACAATACAACACGGGCCGTACTCACCGAGCTGCTTGTCCTCGCTGGTGACCTCCACTTGAATGTTGACTGTGGCCATGTGGTGATAGAAGGACGCCCGGCAGCTGTACAGGCCTTCATCCTGCTCTGTGAGCTCTGACCGGAAGACCATTGCAACCCCGTCCATTTGGACAATCGAGCCATCACTCCTGAAACACGAGTGACTTTGAGCTGAATTTGTATTTCAAGGAGTGTTTTATATTTTTCTTGTTGGGAACAAATCACTCGGAAAGACAGAAACCAACGATGTGTTCGTCCATCTCTCAAATGTTTCTGACTTCCTACTCTGTTTACACCTCATCTGTTCCTACACTTTAGACATAAATGTTCAAAATTGCACCAAAATATGAAGTTTAATTTGTTTGCTCAAAGGCTCAGTAATTTCCTCTCTCAGCTGCGCACTGTAGTTTTTTGCAAAAGTTACTCAAGAACACAACAGGAGTACATGCACATTAGTTTGCAGATTTATACACATTTGGTCTTCTAGTGAGTATGTACAGCAGAATGTGTGTGTGGAGTTGATCCAAAATAAACTACAGTACCCACGATGAGTTCATGGGATAATAGAATCTCTCTCAACTCATACTTTAATGTCAAAGTTATGCTGGGTGATGTCCATGTCATGGAAACAATCCAGCTTACATTTCCAGGCAGATAATTGTTAACTCTGGGTATAATAGCTCCTTTAAATTGGGCGAACATTTAATTCAGTGCCGCACACTGTGCGTACAGCTGCATCCTCATTAGCTGGTAGATAAAGGAGGACACATCACCTTTTACAGATGAGGTTGTACTCTGGCACGTTGCCTTCGACTCGGAGCAGCACTCTCTGATTGCGAAGATTTTCCTGGAGAGCCAGTCTGTGTGTTATGGTTTCACCGCCGTAGCGGCTGTGCAGAGGACTCGTGTGGTTTAAGACTCTCACAGAGGAAATATCTGCAGAAAAGTCAGTTTAGCGGTCAGCTGAATGCATTTATGTGAATCACTACTTTTCGAGCAACTGAAGTTTGCAGGTGCTCGTAACAGTATTGTGTCTGTTAAACTCACGGAATCTGGGGACGTGAATGGTCTTTTTCTCTGTGGCTCCATGTTCAAAACGATACACACAGGTCAAGTCCTGCCCCTCATGATGGGCCAGAGGAAACTGATAAGTCAGCCTGGCTTTAATGACGCGGCCCTCGTACTCTGAGTGCTGGGATGTTTGGCCTTTGGCATTTTCGGGAAGGACCCAGACGAGGTCAGCCCCAACACCCTCCCCTCTGCAGTAACACACTGCCAGCCAGAGAGGAGAGTTCTGCTGTCTCTCCAGAGACACACTCAGCAGAGGGGCTTCTGAAAAAGACAACAAGGGGTGACAGGAAGGGGATGAGCAGCTGCGTGAGTTTGTGTGAGTCACAGAGAGAAATATCACAAAGAAAGAAATAACGTACTGTGCACAAGAATGTGTATTGTTCTTTCTTCTGGTGCCTCCAGGCTTGGATGCTCCACTGTGCAGGTCAAATTCTGACCAGAATACAAAGATGACAAGACATGCGCAGAGCTCCGGGCCGATACCGAACCATCAGCCCGGACTTCAGTCTGGAACTGATAACTGGTGCTGTTGTCAACGTTTCCAACATGCCAGCTTATGGTTGCTGCAGGGGCAACGCTGTCCACAGAGCAGTCCACCTTTGTAAACTCGTCACCGTCTTTCCACTCAGTGCTGGAGTTGATGGCGATTTTAGGGCGAGCTGCGTGGGAAAGAGAAGTTGAAAACACTACTTTTGAGAGAAAGATACAAATCTATGGCTATTGTACGGCCAAAAACCACCCACTACTCAGACAAAATTATCCACCGCTTGATTTGTCGAACATACCGCAAAGAGGGAGGGCAATGCTTCTGTTCTCCTGCTCCTCAAACGCAGGGTGATTTATCACACACTCTGCAGTGAGCTCCCAAGGAGAGCAGGCAGGGAGGAGTAAAACTCCCCTGACAGAGTGGCTTCCATTATGAGAAGTGAAATTGAACCAAGAGACTCCAGACACACCCTCTGGTAGAAGCCAGGACATGTCGGCTGCAGGAACAGCATCAGCTGCCGAGCACTCAATCACACTGTGTCCACCTTCAGTCTGCAAATCGACTCGAATCGTTGGAGGAACTGAGAGGAGAAAAGGTTCCATGGCAATATTTCACACATTGCAGAAAATTCAAAATGTAGCCGTCTTTTCAAGAAGTATATATGCAAAGAGTTTCACCTACCAGGCTGTATAACTTGAGGTTTAATGGTGACATTAAACTTCAGCGTTGCTTTCACATGGTGATAGGAGAAGAAGCATCCATACAGGCCGGCATGCCGATGCTCCACGGGACCCTGAACTGTGAGGCTGCTGCCAACAAGCTCCACACCGTCAGGCAAAGGCCCGTCATCTCTAGAGGGAAACACAAGAATACAAAGAGGAATCCATGTTTCAGTTTGGATGTTTTTTACCAAGATTAAAATAAGACGGTTATTTCAATCAGGAAACATGTCTAAATCTGGTTCCTGCCGTCTATCACTTGTGGTTTGGTGCCATCGAATGTGTTACCACATCCTCCACAAGGTACGTGTTGTCTCAGTCAGTAGTGTTGATGTTACCTGTGTCTGTCAATGTGTTTCCCCATAATATTCATCTTTTTTTCCCAGAGAAAAATAAAACAAGACACTCATGACAAAAGCAAAGTAAAGAAAACAAAAGAGTAAAAACAATCACAGGCCATAAGTTGCCTGACTTTTTTACATTACCACATTTTTCTTACTTTTTGCAGGTAAGGTTGTAATGTGGCACATTCCCCGTGACCTGCAGGCTGATGACAGTGTCTCTCTGTCCTTCCTGCACCTCTAAAGGTTCAGTGCCTTGGAAGTCATCACTGTTGCTTCCCAGCTCCGAGTTCAACAACTGAACTGACAAATCTGCAGAATAATAAAGCACATCTCAGTTTTCCTGTAACTTCGACCTCATGAGCATCAGCAGAGTCATTTTGAAGGTGAAACATTGCTCATACTCACAAAAAGACGGCAGTGTTATGACACGTGACACTTGGTGTGTAAATTTGGGGTGGTCGAACACACAAGTGACATTACGGCCCTCGTACACTGTTGCAGGGAGGACGACTGAGCTTGTCTGCATGTCTGAGTCAGTCTTGTCCTCTCTCTGGAGCTCTTCGTCGCCGTTCAAAGCCAAGGCGATGTCAGCGTCAGGTCTCCCGCCAGATGAAATGCACGAGACCACCCAGAACTCACTTCCTCCTTGTTGTACCATCTCTGCTTTAATGCTTACATTTGGCCTCGCTAAAAGAGCAGGAAGAAAGGCGAGAAGAGTTATTCTTTTCTCGAGGTCTGATGTTTTTTCCAGCAAATCTAAAAGTCAGATATCGAGTTGAGGCTCAGGGTGTTTTTGTTGAATAGGAAACCGGGGCCGGATGACCTAAACACAAGCCGTAAGGGGCTTCTGCTCGGGTTTTTTGGAGAGTGCTGACTTAGGCTTATCACCTGTCCCATCTGTTGGCCGGGCTGCAGCTGAGAGCAGATGTCTGGCCCAGCTGCTGTCCAACCGAAGCTGAGAGAACCACGGGCTTTAATGCAGGGAATCAGCAGAGATCACAGACTATTATCAAATACATAAAAGTTGTGGTGTCATACAATATCCAGCCATCCCCAACGAGTAAGAGAAGTGAGCTCGGGTGTTGGCGAAGGGTATGTGCGATTAAAGTGAGTTAAAGCACTTTGGCTTTAAAAACTTCATCTGTTGACACCTACAGTTCAGTGTGAATTTAACCACTGCGGCTGGAAAATTACCTAAGCTGCAGTGCGTCAATGGGGTCTGAATGTATCGCGGACAAATGAGCTCCCTTGAAAAATGAGAGCATTTAAATGTTGATGACCACATAGCGACGGTCCCAACGAGCGGCCTGATGCTGCACCACATAAGAGCATTTATTTGGTTTGTTATGAGTGACCTATTTTGTCTGTTCTGTGCCAGAGTAACATGTGAACCAGAGCCTACAAACAAAACAAAACTTCTCAGGGGTTTTGTGCCAGCTCTTTCTTGGCAGCTTGGGTAGCATGTACTTAACTTTTGCACGACTCGTGTTTGACTTCTAGATTTAATTTCCATTAGAGGATGAATCATGTTATATTAAAAAAAGTATATATATATATATATATATGTAGATTTATGTAAATATTATCTGATTTTCTGGCCACCTGGGGGCAACAGAAACACGTCGTCAATGCAACATTGATGTAACTTTTAAGTATTCAGCATATACGGAGCAACATTAGCATTCAGTCGTGTTCCTGGTCCAATATCCCTTTTACTTCTGTTTTTGGTCCCTACCAACTCCATAGGGAAAATATCTGGCAGGTCGCTAACTGTGTCTGAGAATATAGATCGAAGCAACTTTTTACCTAATAAAAGTCTAAACTTTGGTCAAAACATTGACTAAATAAAATGAGCATCCTGGATTTCTAGTTCCTTGTCACTCAAGCTTCTTTGCATACCTCATTAAGACTTGATAGTGTATATGAACTTAGTTGAAGTTGAAAGTTGCAAAATCAGAAAAATTGCTTTCACCACATATAGGCAATTTGTGGGTAAAAAGTTTTTGATTACAAACAAATTGAACAGGAGAAATGTAGTCATCAAATTGCACGCTGCTGTTATTAATTATTTACTGGCTTATTGCTGCATTGTGGTGTTCCATATGCTCGACGTCAGTGAAAAGAGTGCATTCCCACATGAATGCATTGCATTGTGCAATGTGATTTATGGTCTGTCACTGTGTATGTGGAGCAGAGTGGGAAGAAACGGCCAGCGTGAAAAAAAAAATCAGCAGGAGAACGTTATTGTGTTGTGAGATGCTGAGTCATGATTCACGATTACAAAACTCAGACTGGTGAATGCAGCGCAATATGTCCCCTCCTGGATAAAAACAACAACACCGACATGCTCAGTGGTGAGTGTGAGCTTACTGTAGGTCTCCACCCTGACCGTGGTCAGGGTGGGGACTGGGAGGGTCGGGTGTTGGACCACACAAGCCACGCTGTCCTCGTCCTGCAGGTGGGTGGGGAAGCGGAGGATGCTGCTCAGGGTGGAGGTGCCGTTTGAGTGGACGGTTTCACTCACGCCCACAGCAAAAGTGTCATTTGAAGGAGGACGGCCGGCGACCAACCAGCTGATCTGAGGCACGGGCCTGCCACCGACCGCAGAGCATGACACCGACTGGTAGTGAGAGCCGTTTATGGTCTCTGCATTCACCAGCATCTGTACATCAGGCCGAGCTGTGAATGAATGTAGTAAACATGTCAATCTTCTTAGACAAGACATCGGCATGTCTTGGGTCAAAGATGCATTATCTCCAGGTTAAATTCAAATAAGATTGGTGGTGCAGCAGTTATGATCTTTTAGATGTATTTCAAATTATGGCAACGCCATTAGGCAGGTGGTGAATGAAAGAAAATCATACATTATTGGCTTGGCTTACCTACTACAGTGAGATATACACTGTGAGGATACTGCTCTTCCTGTGATTCAAACTCACAGATGTATTCTCCCTCTGCTTCCACACTGGTCACCTTCATGTTAACAGTGAGGTTGGTGAGAGAGTCTGGCTCTGAGATGTAACTGCGGCTAAACGATTTGCCATGAACAATTCCGGCCAGTCGCTGGAATTTATTTTCTGAGTTAATCCGGCGTTTCCACTCGGCGCTCTGGATCTCACTATCGCCTAGATAACTACAGCTCAGGTAGACGTCCTCTCCCAGGACGGCTGTGATGTGAGTGATCTCAACGCTGCTCTCTCCACTCAGACCTGTGACACAAAACAGTATAATGTTCAGTAACAATGAGCCGTCATGAATTCACCTGAACAGCCCTCAAACTGCAAACACCAGCAAAATGTTTGAGGGGCAAAATGTAAAGTCAGTAGAATACATCCTCTGGGGACCATGAATGTCTGTATAAAATGTCACACTGACCGAACGACAGACCAACTAGCGTGGCTTACAAACAGAGCTTCAACCCAAAAACTGATATGAAAGTATAGGTTGAAGATAAAGTAGCCCTCTAAACATCAAAGAGACAGGATTTGGACTTTGTGCACTCAATGACACTTGACAAATGCAACCTTGACCCCACAGTGTATATTTAGTAGAGGACTCCATTATGCTAATGAGATGAAAACAGTCCAAACGTTACGCCCTGATCCATCCACCTACACCGACGACCGCGTCCCTCCACAGTGCTCAGAAATCAGCCGCGGTTAGGGGAGGTTTCAGAGGAAAGGACATTTATTAAAGGATGACAGGTTATAACACTTGCAGACAGGACAGTGTGCAGACTCCAATGCATACAAAGTTCCAATAATCCTGCTTCCTCCGACGACTTTATTAAAGTGCACTTGAGGACATAGTTTGGCCCATCAGCCAGCTGAAGCCAAGAAGCTGTATTCAGCTTTAGATACATGATGAGTAAAATAATGCTGCTGCACTGCTTCATGGAAAACCCCAGAACTTACAGCCAGCTGCTGCAGTCTAAACTGAACCGTTTGCATCAAACACTGTGAAAGCTGAAACACTGTTGGTCTTACTATACATCACAGCAAACGGAAACAATGTGGAGAGCCTCCAAAGCCTTTTAAGAGGAAAGGACACAGAGGGAGAGAAATAAATATGCTGCATCAGTTCAATTATGCCTTGTGGGTTTATAATTCATTTGTCCTTGCAGGTTATTGCCAAACTAAATGTCAGCCAAGCATGGAAAAGGCACACCTTAAGGATACAAACTAAGTAATAACTGAGAGAAAAATCAAATCAGTTATTCATGCACTGTCTGCACCATATTTCCTGAGCCCCAGAGGCTTCTTTTTCTCACCAAACAGCAACCATTCACCAGTGGCGCACAGCAACTCTTCCTTCACAGACTGGGGATGTGGTAAACAAATAAGACTTTCGACTTTGAGAAGCAGAGCTTTTTCGCATGTTCAAACTTAAACTTTCATCTCCAGCTGGAAGTCCCAGTGACAGCAGAAACAAAGACTTCAGACTGAACCTTAGAAAAAAAACATACAGTAGCAAATCTGAACTGTAGGCTGCAGAGGGTTTCTCCCTCACACAAAGGAAAACCTTAACAGCCCTCATATATTAACTTTTAAAGGCTGTAAAGGAAGCTAATGTGGTTTTAGGTGACACTACTGGTCAATAATAATGAACTGGCTGCTGGAGTGACAATACACAACATGCCATCAGCAATACACTGCATAAATAGTTATTATTTAGTGTGTTCAAGATGCATCCAGCATGTGGCTTTATTGCCTGTGTGCATTTATGTTTGGACTAATCACTTAAGGAAAACCATAGCAGCACTGTTCAGTGTAAATGCCACAGGTTAAACAAGACCTCGAGGGCCAGTAAAAATAAGCCCATAAACAGCTGACAGTCACACACGGATTGTAACCCTGCAGACTTACCTTCCAAGCAGTGAGCAACTTTTAGGACAAAACACAAAATAAACAGCCCTGAGTATCCCATGATGGTGTCATTGAGTGAAACAGAGTTGGATCATCTGATAGTATGTACAGCATAAGGGTATTTAAAGTGTGTGAGTTCTGTGGTTTATGGTTAGATGTACACACCCTCTTCAGCTGAGACTGTTTTTTTGCCTTCTTGGGTGCATGTTTGCTGCCACTCACCCATATGTGCACATGATCACACACACACGCGCACACACACACACACACACACACACACACACACACACACACACACACACACACACACAGTATGATAGCTGTTTGTAAAACCGCTTCTCCCTTTTTGCTTTCTGAAACAATAAATGGGTTTCTGTATCAGAGTTGCTGCAGATTTGCATGTCTCTCACATGTTTTTCTTCAAGTTGCCATGCACTATGTCTGTTCAGTTACTCAGCCACCTCATATAGCAGGGCGCCTTGGGAAGTGGTAAAGCCATACATCATTCACACCGCCCCGTCCCTGCTGGGGCACTCGGAGACTGCCCGTCTACGAGACGGCTCGCTACGGCTGCTCATACCCTGCAGTTTGGGAAATCACTCACTTCTGGGTATTGCTTTATGGCATAATGCTACTCTAATTCACTCTGAGGCAGTGCGGTTTCTGTTTTTTACTTCCTCAGTCAAGACTTATTTGCAGAGGGAAATTTGTCACCCCTCTGCAACCAGAAACAAATGTGGGTGAGAAAGATAAAGATGTTTTGCACGGGCTCAGCATTGCACAGCATTTCAGGGGGGGGGGGGCAACTTTAGTGTTTAGTCATCGAGACCACAGGAGGATGACGGTGAATGGAATGACCTGACAAAAACACATTTGATTTTTTGTGGCTTGTAACGGCTTTTTGAATCACCTGTTTTGAAACTGCAGCCGTAGTGACATTGTGTAGCGTGCGAAAGTGTGTTTTACAACAAAGAAGACAGTTGTCGCATTCTCTTATTCTCCCTCTAGTTCACACACACACACACACACACACACTACAGCGAAGTGAATCTGCAGTAAGGCCCTCACTACACAACACAAACACCCCTTAAAAAAAGCCTAAAATACGTTATCATCCACACATCTCTCTTAAGATTCCTTAAAGTTACCTATTTCATGCACATTTGACTCTAACCTCAATTTGAAAGTCCTTCAAAGCGTTTTAAGACATTTGTATACACGAGTTAATCATATCTTGCTTATTTGTTAAGTTTTTCTTGAGTTATTTTGTATTATAAAACTGATTGAAAACAAGATGGGAAGCAAATTCTTTTTAATCTATATTTACAAAACAGAAATCAGCGCTTGAACCGCACAGATAGATGAGGTTTTGTCAGCATGATAAGCAAGATTAAAGCTCTTATTACTTCCAGTCTTGCTCCCTGACTTGACTCTGAGTGCGGATGATCGTATCTCCGGAAGGTAAAACACAGTCCAGTCTATTAACGAAGTCACAAGCAACATCTGCCTCGGGGGGCAAATACTTGACACAGAGTCGAATTTGTCTCCAAAAACCGTGTGTAGTCACATGAACACGGAGCTGGTGGTCATTTTTCCAGCTAATCAAATCACTTGAAGTGGTTATTCCCTGAAGGTGGAAGTGGAGTGGAGTTTGGACAAGGAGTCTGGAAACCTTCAGTCTTTTACTGTCTGCGAGCTAATGCGTTTTACTGACAATGACTTGTTAACATTTCATAGACAAGGTACTTATAGATTTCACAGATGTACAACTGGCATCCTTTTCACCTTGCTGGCTTTCTCTTTGGACACACGTGGACATCCTGCTGGAAAAAGGTAGTTGGTGATCAGCCAGTAATATTGTGCGCGCAGTAAAGCACAGGCGAGCCTGCCTGTGAAGGGCTGCGTGGTAACCTACTTAACTCTGTGCAACCGTATCATCCTTTTTTCAGAGGAGGAAACTCACTGATCATTTGCACCATCTCTTCCTGCTGTTATTCATTTAAAGCTGAGTTCACACACACACACACACACACACACACACACACACACACACACACAC